AGTGTGGTTCAGGATTTTTGTGTTAAAGAAAGCATATCCCTTTATAGAGTTCAATGAGTCAAGCAACATTTCTTTTAATGAATGATGCAACTTTGACTTTGAAAGCATAGCCGCCACACGCCGGTTAATAGATATTTGGAAAGGGAATGTACAACAATTACAGGCAAACGCACAATTACATCATAGCGGAGAATGAGATAACGGATGACCTTAGTCAATCTAGGCTTCTTTCTCTTCTGCTGCGAAGCTGCTTAGAATTCATGTACCAAAAGATTAAGAGCATTGTTAATATTTTATTAAATGATAAAATCGTTAACTTCTTTAATTTATTTTTTAATTGTCCCATATTGTCAAATTTAGCTCCCATTTGAGCTCTTTTTGTAGATTAAATTTGGTAAGAAGTAATTTTTTATGTGCAAAATCTAAATTTTGTATCATAATATTCCCCAAATTGAAGATGCGGCAGAAGCTCGTGCCTTCACAAATAAAACACGAGCATATTTGGTATGTTAGAAGTGATTATAACTGGCTAATTTAATGGGAAATTCCTTCTTTATGGAGTCTTTTACTTCCTGTGTCTTCAAGAAACTTCCAGTCTATGATCTAAGCAAAAGTCAATTAGCGAGGGTATAGGAATTCAAATTGTAACCAAACACAACAGAACATTACCCAGGAAAGAATGATTGACATGCACATGACGGTCGACAAATAGGATCAATTGTGGCAAAATCACCCAAGTGTTCTCAAGGCCACAAGGATATATGCCATTTTCTATATAGTAATGCAATTTAGCACCATTAGTGTATAGCATTAGCTTAGATAGCGAATACATGACGTTAAATGATACTCACTTAGATGTACATGATTCATTTAATTGAACCAATCAAGTGTGGCCATGTAGTCTGGTGTTATAACATCACCAATGCAAGATAACATTCAGATATTTTAGCATTATTTGGAAATTAAAAAAAAAAAAAAATTTTGTCTTCATACCAACCAACACGAATGGATGCATGAGGAAAATTAACAGATATTCGCTGAGTAATTTACTCATATGAAGATATGTACTTGCTTGAAAGATTTTTTTAGTTTTAAAATAGATCCTTCAAAGGATCTTGACGACAATCTGTCTACTTTTAACAAACTTGTTCAAGATATTGTTAACTGTGATGAAAAGATGTCTAAAACATATAAAGCAATTATCTTATTTAATTCCATGCCTAAATCATATAGAGAGGTTAAGAATGCAATCAAATACGGTAAGGATATCCTAACACCCGAGATTGTTATAGACTCACTTAGTAGAAAGAAAATGGAAATTAAGGCTCAAAATGAAAATAAGAGGAATGATGAGTTACACATGATAAAGAGTAGGACGAAGTTTAAGAAAATGAATTTGGATAGAGCTCAAAATAGTGGTGATTCGAGTAGTGACTCGAGTGATGAAGATAGTAAGAGGAAGGAAAAGGGACGAGACAAGTCTAGTGGTAAAAGGTGTTACAATTGCTGTAAGTTTGGACACTTTATTAGGAACTGTCCCAAGAAAAAGGATAATAAAAGGATAATGTGAGAGGTGAGACGCTGTGGTTGAGGGGTCGAGTCATGACCCTAGTGAGGTTTATTGAGGGTAAACATTGTTACCGAATGTGCAACTGTTTGTGATCCTTTCTGCATGTATGTCATTACCTAATTCTGTTGCATGATTATATGTTGCATTTCAATTTGTTT